ATGCCACAACTCTCCATTACTCCAGTTCTAATGCAAGTCATGGCTTCATACTAAAGCCATGGTCATCTTCGACCATGAAGGACGAACATGAAAAGTATCCTCATAATGTTTGTTAGTATCTTTGTAATATTTTTAATAAGTATGAACATTTTTTTTAAATGCCATGTAAGCCATATTGTAAGATTATCAAAAACAAGATATTGTACATTATTCAAACAATCATGAAAACAGAATTATTTTAAATGTTTGTTTTAAATCCCAGAAATCTCTGAAAAGTACAAAATCCCTTGCAACAGTCTATATATATATATATATATATATATATATATATATATATACGATGTATACACTATATAAAAAAAATCCTTTTCTTTATGTCAGTAAAATGAAAACTAGAACTCTTTTTAAAGAATTTTTTAGTGAGTCTTTTAGTTAAAAGAAAAAAATATTTTCTATTAAATTTTTTCAGAAAAATCTAGGTTTTTATATGGAAAAGTGAATTAAAGTTTTCATATTTTAGTGCCTGTAAATTTATTACTGAAAACATAACTTGTGTAAAGTTAGACAACATTTTTCAAGATTAGAAAGGCTGGGATTGGAAATATGAAATTTTTGTAAATGACAAAATAAATTAATCTCAAATTAGAAAAAATATTAATAAAGAATACAATACAAAAATTGTAAATGTCTATGAGATAGTAAAGTTATTTTTAGTAAGCCAATATTCATGGCAGTTCTTAAAATAAGTGAGAATGTCTCTAAGAAAAACAAAGAAATTGATAAATAATTTTCATTAAAATATAGAATAAATGCAATTTTCTCAATTTTGTAACATTCTGAAAATAATTTGTAAATTATTACATGATTTTGATGCTTTCATTTGCAAACTAATTCCATTCAAATATTTTTTTTTGATTTAGGATTAATACAATCTACTTCCATAAATAAATAATTCTTTAAAGGAAAATTACAAATGAATCAACTTAAGATGAGAAAGTCTTCTCTTTGTAACAAAAGTCAGTTTTAACCAAAAAATATGTCCTTTTTAAAAAGCTATATAAATAAATTTTAAGAGCAGAATTATAAAAAAATAATTTCTTACAATCTACAAACTCAAATATAAGCAACACAAATTTGATAAAAAAAATATATAGTAACAGATTGCGACAGCTATTAGGGAGATGTGATTAAATATAATTTAATGTATAAAAAAATTTATTCAGTATTATTTTTGTTTAGATAATAAGCATCATAACATTGCAGAAATAGTTATATTGTGGAAAAAGGAATTTTCGACAATATACACATTTTTTACGTATTTATGGTTATTTTTTTAACTTTTATCAAAAATGACATTCTTGTAAATATAGTTATGGATAATATTATACCTTAATTACTAATTTTTTTTATTAATAACTATTTGTGCTCAGTTGTTGACATTAATAGCTATCTGCTGATGTTTTAAAATTTTGGAATAATGCAGTAATAAAAATATAAATTTCATCTCTCTGACAGATGTTGCAATCTGTAAAACTTATTTTTCAAATTGTTAAATTTATCTTCTTCAAGCCTGTTGCAACATGAAGCCAAGATTGTTTATAGAATTATCTCCCTTAAGAAAGGCGGTGAAAATTGTACAACTGATCAGGTTCATTATGAGGGAAGAAAAAAAAAGAAAAATTTTAGGTTTTAACTTCATAGATGAGGATGATGCCAGTGGTAATAATAACAATAAAAATTGTAGCAAAGATTTGCTAAACTTAACTTCATCTTGCAAAAGGCCACAACTGTTGGGCCCCATATGAAGATTAAAGTCACACTGACAGACTAGCTTGTTAATCACCAGTCACCAAAACTATAGCAAAATTTTAAATATTCAGAAGAATTTTCATAATCTTATATAGCAGTAATTCTAAAACTTAGATAAACAGTTTATCTTTACAAATGTTGTGAATGATAAAGAAAGCATTTTTGTTTTAACTGATAGCAGGGATACAAAGCTTTTCAAAAGATTTATTGACTGAAGTGCATAATTCTATCAAAGCTTTTTGAAGGTTTTATTGCTATTTAAAAAGAATTATTTTGCATCTGTGCTTATTTGTTGGTTACTGAATTAAAGAAAGTGTTTTTGAGAAGGAAATGGTTTTGAATAAGCAATTCTTTAACCCAAGGAACATTATTAACAACACAATTGTAGCACAATGACTCAACAAAAACCTGTGACAGCAGTAATCTTCAGTTTCACACAATATATACAGTTACACATACATACAAATATATTCTCTCATATACATAGATCACTAAACACAAATATCAAACAAGACATCAACACTGACTAAAGTTGGACATTTGTTGATTCGTCTCAATTTGCATTCTTTTCTTGTTGTCAGTTGTTCAGAAGTGACAAATCTACGCTGTAAGCAGTTGAGAAGCACATCAGCAACTATACTCCAATCATCTCAGCTGATAGTCAGCCAGTGGTCACATGAATGGCTTTCATTCAGGATCCAGTTTGCATTCTGTTAAAAAATAAAATTAACTAGTTTCACTTCGTTATATTGAAGAAAAGATAAAAATAAACATCATACAATCTTCTTAACTCCTTTTAAGATTATCAGATTAATCTATTGAATTTAAAGATTATCACTGGATATTTGGGTAAATATCACGATTTCTGAATTGCCTGTTGTCGCCATATTGGTCGAAGGGAAATAACTTCGAAAAACTTATCTCCCTTGGATGATAAAGTCGAAAACAGTTTACGTATTGTGTACAGTCACCCAGAATCAACTATCAGACAATTTTTTTTTTTTTTAAAACTAACTTTTATTTCTGTTGTCGGGTTAACCCATCCTAATTTTCGAAACTGCACCTAGAGGACGATCTCCCTAGGAGCAGTTTTGAAAATTTGGAGGCCATCCATTTACTTATTTTTGCCATCCATTTACTCAAGCTCACTAAGTATTGTTTCCCTTGCCCTCAATCTGTTCTGTGAGTATCAGGCTTTTCAAACCTTCCCTCCTCATTATGTACCCTAGAAATTTCAAATGTCTCTTCCTTACGTTACTTTTAAGTTTCCTATTTGTTTTCATTTTCTCTAAAACTTTGTTGTTGCTCATATTTTCAGTTCATGGTACCCCCAGATCTTTAAATTTTCGCACTTGTTTGATTTTGGTATCTCCAATTTGCAATTCACACTTTGCACTCATCCTTTTGCTCGCAACCATGCATTCTGTCTTCTTGCAGTTAATGTTTAATCCTTTCTTTTATTTTTCCATCACTACCTTCTGTAGGAAGTTTTGTAGCTTTCTGTGTCTGCTATCAACACTGTGTCATCTGCATATCTTATATTGTTAAGATTGTGGCCACCAATAATGAATCCTGGTAGGACTTCTGCTTCTCTCAGAATCACCTCATTGTATAGGTTGAATAAGTCCAATGAGAAGACATCCTTGTTTACACCACTTTCTATTTTTGTATATCTGCTGAACTCATTTTCTATCTGTATGCAGGCCATTTGCTGCCAGTATAGGTTCTTGATTATTCTAATATCCTTCCCAGATACATCAAAGCTGCTGAGCAGTTCCAACAGATCTTTGTAGCTTACTTTATTGAACACTTTTACATAATCTGTAAAACACGTCCTTCTGCATTTGGATTGTTCTTTCAGATAAAATTCTGAGCATGAATATTATGTTCCTTGTTCCAGTGTCTTTGATGAACCTCTACTGTTCTAGTCTTATTTCTGGTCGGATTCTGATGCATTATTCATCAGAATTCAGATGACAATTTTTATTATATGGATTTTTAGGTTGATTCTCCAATGATGTCCGCATTCATCTGCACCTAGCTTCTTAAGCAATACTTAAAAATAGATCTACTTAGGTCTTCCAGTATATCACCAGTGTTGTAGATTTAATTTATTATTTCTGTAATCTTGTCTGCTGAAATAGTCTAAGGCTGCCAATATCTCTATTACAATTCCATCTGGCCCTGCCACTTTGTTTCTGTTCAATTTGGCCACTTCAGATTTTAATATTTCTGGTCCATCGATATTTCTGTATATTACTGATTGTTCCATTTTGTCGTGGAAGAGTTCTCATATATTTCTTCCATCTCTGAAGTATTTTTTCTTTCTCTAATATCAGATTTCATTCTTGGATTTTATACATCCTGTTTATGAGCACATCTTTTGTCCTGGTAGTTCTCAATCTTTTTATGCATATCTCCTTTATTTGTGATACTCCTTTTATCCATTTCTGCACATTTTTCATTGAGTCATTTCTCTTTAGCCTGCCTGCATTTGTTCATTATTTCTTTGTGTGGCATCCTACATTCTGCTCCACATATTGGTGAGATTCAAAAAATTTTAAGAATGGGTTCTCTCAAATAGCAACAGGTTTCTTCCTTTTTCCATAGTCTTTACTATATAGATATAATTTAGGAATAAAGCAAATTTTTCTTGCACTTATTCAAAAATACCAAAATTAATTGCACATTATCATTGTGAAAAGAAAAATAATTTAAAAAAATGTTTTAAAATCTTTTATTCATGATCTTTCATATTAAAAATTTCCAAATAGCCACTTGGTTGTTAATGTTGTCTTCTAGGAATATTATTATTGTTACAAATAAATAAAATAATAATGAAAATTATAAATAAAATAAAACAATATTTAAATCTTGTTTAAAATAAATTAAATGAAAAAAATAAAAAATATAATTACTCTCAACATTATCACAACTGTAAGGTAAAACACACAAATATATAAATAAAATTGTAGGAAATTACCATACAATTTATCATGTCTTCTCTGTATTGTGTACATTTATTTTTCCTGTTTTTATCTTCATAAAAACAAGCCTAAAATTCTACTACCACTACTACTACCACTACTACCCTTCAGCTTTATTTGTTTCACTCTGTTGTCATCAGTGCTGTGATTTTTTTCTAAGCCATGTTTTAACAAAAGGAGTAAATTATAAATCTAAAGGGAGACTAATCAGATTGATAGTCATCAAGTTTGCTGCATCTTCCACTGTAAGATGGCTTCTTTTATCTGAGTAGATAATATTCATTCTTGAAAAACCTCTTTCTGCCTCGGATGAACTGATAGCAATCGTATTGATAATAGTTTTTGCTTTTTGTACATTTTGAAGAATTACAGGATTATGAAAATTTTTCAAGACATTTTACACATAGTTATGAAAATCATTAATGGGAATGTTGTGTTGAAAACTTTTACTGAAGCCATTCAGCTTTTCTTCCGCAGCTTTCCAGGGAATAACTATTTTTTTAATCTTCCAAGTATCTGGCTCTAGCAAGTTCAGCAGTTCATGAAATTTATTTTAACCTTTATTTGATCACCTGAATTTACATCTCCAACTAACTATGCGACTACAATTTTTAGACAATCTAAAATGAGATTCTTTATTGGGGTTGAATTTAGCAACAGGTTCATTGAACTCATAAAATTCCAAGAACAGGTCCATGTGAACCCTCTGAATCCCACCACTGTTTCCATGTCTTCTTTTCATCATGTCAAGAATTTCATCAGCCATCCATTTATTTTTCTTCATCTAATTTCCTCTGAGATGATCTCAATTGCTAATGCTACTAAAGCTTCTCTTAAAGTGTCACACTTCAAGTTTCCATTTTTTTTATTGTCCCTCATATCTGCTTATTACAATTCTTCTTCTGGGTTAGAAGTGTATAAATTCTAAATTTTGTTTATAACTATATATTTTTTTTATAATTATATTTTCATTCCCTTCCAGAACCCTATGAATAATGAATACACAAGAACACATTTTTATTGACCCTCCTAGATTTCTTTGCATGGGGTTTTATAAAACAAAGGTTTATGGCAAAAAGATCAATAGTTTAGCTGAGCTTAAAGAATGCATTCAGCTAGCAGTGCAGGAGATTACTCCTGAAATATTTGTACATTTTTTACACAATGCTAAAGATAGATTTGAAATTTGCAGGCATACAGATGGAGCACATGTTGAAAATTTTCTATAAAGTTTTAAAATAACATTTATAAATATTTGTTTTGCATCATAATTAAGTAATAAACATAAAATTGTGCCAGTTTTTTTTTTAAAATTGCCCAATTTCTTTAAAACAATTCTGGAACACACTGTAGTGTCAAAATTAGTAAAAATAAATTTGTTTAACAATTAATCAGATTATAAAATAATATTTCATGACAAATATTTCCAAACCAAAACTTATTGTTATAAAAAACAGGCATGTCTACATGTACCCACTCAATATAATTCTTATTAGAATTATTTACTTAAACAATATACCTTTAATATCAAATTTTCTTTTAAAGATAAATAAACAAAACCTTTGCAACTAATTCTTTTGTTTGTATTATTTGCATCAAGATTTACAAAAAATTTCTTCAATGCTGTTGATTTATTAATTTCAAATGGATATTCTAAAAGAATCAATGTATAATAGTAATGAAAATTATCATTTAGACTCAGACTAAGTGTTTTTGTTATTGTGGTATCATATGCAAATTAGATAGACAATAGAGAACAACTGACGAATAGAGAGCGTTGCTTAGCAAACTTGTTTGCTAAACCTAATGTGGAGAACTGTGCTACAACTGCTACTATATAAAGAGAAATATCAAACATAACAGTTATTTGGCCATTTTGAAGACCTTCTTTAGGTTTTGGAAGTCTTTTAATAATAACAAAGATGAGGATATTAGTATCAATGTAAATAATGATAACTCTTTATCCCAGAAATTCAAATACGAATTAAAAACAATTAGTCTCAGAAATTTTTAAAGATTAAAATATTCTTCCACATTCATTTATTTTATTTTCAAGCTACAGTCCAAACTGTGTTCAAAAACCCATTTAAAAAGATCATTTATTCTCTAGAAGCCAAAATAGTCTATTTTTGATGTTCTCATAATAAATCAATGTTTGATGCATCAAGTAAAAACAAATGCCATAAATAAATGCTACTGTAATGGAAGAAAGCTCATTACCTGATCTGCTTATGTCTGCCTTTATCAGCAAGTTGTTTGTGTCTCTCTTTGTCATAACTTGTCTCTGGTGCTTCACATTCAAATGATGCTAGCAGAAGAGCTAAAAACAGGAAAGGAAAATCAGAACTCTTTAACTTTCATTTCATTTCAGCTTTTAAAAAAGGTTTACGAGATGACAAACAGTAAAATTTAAAATCATCAGTTATCTAAAAAAAAAAAAAAAAAAAAAAAAAATTTAAAATTTAATGAAACCTTCTTAAATAGTTTTATTTAAATCAAACATTAATTACGGAGCACAGAAAATGTACCTAAAAGCATATAAAAAAATTAAAACAGTTATTTCATGGTCAGTAGAAGATTATTGCACACTGATTCTTTTGCCTGCAGATTTTGTCCGTTGCATCCAAAGTTTGTTGATAGAGGCGGTGGGGGGGCCATAGATGAGATGTTTGTCTGTACTTCAAATTGATTGAAGAGAGGAAGGAGTGAAGTTTTGCAATTGTTCAGTAAACTCTTGCAGATCATGTTTCCAAAATGGTAGACACTAGCTTTTCTCAGTAATGTGTCCGAGTAGGTAAAAGCACTATTATTATTACCATGATGACTATAATTATTGATTATTATTATTATTATTATTATTATTATTTATATTATTATGATAATGATTACTATTAGGGTTATGATTATTCCCTATATATTAATACGCTTGTACCTACCAGTCACGCAAAGATAATTTGTGCAGCAGCCATGTTTTGGTGTAAATAAAGACACTGGTATCGAAATAAAAACCCCTATAAATACCCGACAAATATGGATTTCAGTTTGATTTTAAATATTACTGGGCCACATGACAGAATCATAGGTTTAATTCTAAATAAAATCTTAATTTAACACCATAAATGGATGTGAACGTTCAACAAATATTGTAAACAAACCAATCTCACCAGTTTGTTTTAAGATTAAAAAACACAATTCTGTAAGATTTCTTCATATAAAATCAATTTTATTCAACATTATGGACATCAACTGTGAAATATTTCAAAATTGTCTTGGTAGGTACATTAGAAACAAATATTAACAACCGTTTTGTCAACAGAGTATTCTAACTTTGTTTTATTTTTTTTTAATACATGTATATTAGATTTTTAATTAAAAATAGAAATGAATCACTTCTATTTTTAAATAAAAATCTGATATACATGTGTCTGTATCATAGTTACAACTGACTATATATTTCCATTGCATTGAATATTCTCTTTTATTGTTTTAAAATTCGCCACACAAGAAAAACATCAACTCCCAATTATCTGGTCAACTGAGTATCAGAGAAAACTTTTTTGTTCAATATGATCTCTGATCATCCTTTTTTTTTTTAAGCATTTCACTCGAAGCAAGGTGGGAAGCCACTAGCACGCAAGGGGTTACAAGGAGTTGGAGCGAGAACAAAGAGGAGTGATAGAGGAAAGGATGAAGAGAAGGATAGGGGATAGATTAAGGCATCTGGAGACGTCGATTGACATTACATTTGAATAGTTGGAGATTATAGCTATCATGGAAACAGGAAAATGGGAGGGAGTTCCACAGGCGAGAAGTGAGAGACATGAAGCTATTGGAGTAGAAAAGATGGCTACATTTAACAGTTTCAACAGTGAAAGGATGAGAGCAAGATGCCAGCCTGGTGGAATGCTTAAATTCATGAAGTCTGGGAACCAGCAAAAGCAGCTCATCAGAGCAGTTACCGTGAAAGTATTTGTAAAAAAAAGAGGCAACGGTACATCTGTGAGAGAGCGACTGCAGATGAGATACCAGATCAGGGCCAATTGCGTTGCATATAACAATATAACAGTAAGTACATCTGCCTGAACTGGCATTAATGCAAGCATTCCATTCATTCTGCATTGGGCCCAGTTCCCAATTCATCTGTCCTGTTCTTTGACAATCAATAAAACACAGAGGCAAACATTCGATAGAGTTTGCATACACTTGCCACAGCTATGTTTCACTCATGGCCAGCTTTACATAGCATTTTCAAGAGTAAGGCGATGAAGTGTGAGAGTTAAGTGATATCTCAAAATGAATCCACTTATGGTCACAGAAGGGAAATTACTTTCACTAAAACATTGTATATAGGAAAGCGTTATAACGTATGTATTTCATAAATACTTTCACACAATAACTTAAAATAAATTTATATTATTAAATATGAAATAAAGGATAATATAATTTTTTATTAACCAAAATAGTGAAAATTAAACAATTCTTATTAACTGATAAATATTCATTGAACAATACAGTAAAATCCCTCATATCTTGAATCATACATATTCAGAGTGCCTCATATCCATACATAATTTTGATGTTTATATTTGAACTATTTCGGTGATATGTAATTGATTTGAAATTTCTGTTTTTCAGGAAATTTACTTTGGATAATTGTTTATGCTTATTTCACCCTAATAGTTTGTATTGGTGCAAAAGATAATGGAAATAAGAGGAAAGGATGACAACGAGACACATCTGCAACAAGATAGACACAAGATGCAGGATTGTGATGAAACCTGGATTGAAATTGGAAAAGTTATTGAAAAAGGTAGTCAGTTTTATGGAAAGAAAGCCAGCATTCAGCTATGACAAGTGCAATAATGCACGCAGAGTTAAAAAGTGTCTTTTGTTTAAAAAAATTTCAAGAACAAAAGCAAAACAAAATGCAGAAAAAATTGAGAATGACATTAGAAGAGAAAGAACCATCATGCAACAGCGATTAAAAAAATCATCATTACATTATTTGTTTTGTATATGTGGCATACTTAATTTAATAAATTTTCATTAACATTACATAATTTATTTCTTTTTCCTTAAAATCAATTCCGTTATATTTCACTCACCATTAGCTTATTTTTTTTTTTTACTATAAAACATTGAAAATAAATGTTAAACCTGATTTCAGTTCTTTTATTTTAATCTAAATACAGCCCCTCATATCTGGTAACTTTGTAACCAATTCCTCATATCTGGAAGGTCTTCTTATTCCAGTTGTCAGGGATTCAACTCTAACTTATCTGTTAAATTTTTCACGGGTCCAGCTAATTATTATTACGATGATTAATATTATGATTATGATGATTAGAATTATTACTGTTATGATGATTATGATGGTGTTGCCGAGAAGAAGAATAATGATGATAGTGTGTATCAAAAGTACATACTACTATCAATACCACTTAGGTCATTCAAAAGAAAAAGAAAAATGATGGAAATAATCAAAAAAAAAAAAAAAAAACAAAGAAAGTCATCAGTAATTACTTACGAGTTTCTGAGTAGACAGGTGTGGTTAAAATGTAACTGAGGATGTTACTGTTCTTCTCATAGGGACACTGAAAAGGACAAAAAACCTTTAAAAAAATGAAACGCTTTTCTCAAATTGTATAATAAAAATGTAACTGATTCTTGCAAAGAAATTGTTTATATTGCATTAGTGAGTGTAAAAAGTCCCCAAAACATTTCTGGAACATAACTAAAGAACTACAATATAATAAATTAATTGTTTTAAAATATGTTTTTTTTCGCTACACAGTTCTAACCATGTTTCAAAAATGGAAGCTAAAAGCCCCGAATTTAATTTTGTAATTAAATTAAAGACATTAGTTCCATTTCATCCTAAAATTCGCTTGAGGATGAAATGGAACTAATGTCTTTAATTTAATTACAAAATTAAATTCGGGGTTTTTAGCTTCCATTTTTGAAACATGTTAGAAATTGTAGCAAAAAAAAAACATATTTTAAATCAATTAATTTATATATTAATGTCTGTAAATTTACATTGAGCACTATTTTGTAAAAAATAAAAATATCTATAAGAACACCGGATTATATATCTTACTGTTCTTTCTTTTTTTTATTTATATACATACATATATATATATATATATGGCAAATTGGAAAAAAAATTTGATGTGTTTCATCCATTAGGATTTCATCAGATGAAACAGATCACAAAAACTTTTTCCCAATTTGTCCTCTTATTTTTCTAAATACTGTTTGTTGATATAAAAAAAAAAAAAAAATCTTCATAACCTCATAACTTAGTTACCTCCCCTGGAAACCACATGCTAACCACATAGTACCAAACTCTGCATTACTTACTTCACAAGTAAAACGTCTAACTTTCAGATGAACACAGCAATTTTTGCTGAAAATAATGAACACTACATTTTTTTGTCTTTAAAAACAACACCCTGATGATGACAGTGTTAATATCAAAAGTACTCAGAAGTAAAACATTTTGTATCAACACAGTAATTTTCTCTCTTAATAATGACACCAAAAGGCTTATTCGTGAATATAAAGGATCTGTTGAAAATAAGTAGACAAAACTTGTTTAAATTATTAAATGAAACATGTCTCAATGATATATAAAATTATAGAAATTATATCAACTTTAATTCCAAGTTAACATAATTAACCAAAGTATTGAAATGATTTTATATATAATTTTTTATACATGTTATTCTGTTCAATATTTTTAAAAATTCAGCATTATCCAACATTAAGCATAAAAAACTTCAGTTTTCTTGTTTGAATTTTGCTACACTGAGTTTATTTAAATCATTTTATGTGTTTTTCTTTAGACCAATTTCCTCCTCATCATTTTTTCTCTCAGGTTTCAGCTGTGTAACCTTTCACCTTTCTCAGGCATGTCTTCTGCTGTGAAGGAAGACTGATGGTTAGATGGTCGAAAAAGTGTGGAAAAGAAAAATACAAACAACAAAGATGAGGAAATTAGCCTAAAGAAAATCACATGCAATGTACTTCATTAACAAAAAAAAATTACATTTTCTTTCTATTAGTGGATCAATGTAAGTAAATCGATAAGTCCATAGCCTCATGATAAACAATTACTTTTCAGCAAACCGCTCTTTCACAAATGAACTTAATGAAATAGTGAATATTAATCACCTAAATTAGACATTATACAGGGAAAGTTTCAGATCAAAATTCAACTAATAATTGCATGAAAAGCTGCCAACTTATTGATGCACCCTAAAAATATCATCAGAAACTTTTCAATTATTAAAAGAACAGACTCCTTATTAAATACAAATTCTTGTCTATTTAGAAAAATATTTTTTTAAGTAGAATTATGCAACACAATTTTTATTTAAGGGAAAAACAAGATTCATTAATCAAAGACATCTAAATATATATATATATATATATATATATAATATTATTAAAGTTGTCATTAGTGTCAATTTATCAAGACATGAATAACCCACGTCCCACCACCCTCTGACCTTATTTCTCATTTTAGCTTAGATCTGACTTAATTGGTTAATCCAGACATGCCCAAAAGTATATTTTTAATTGACATTAGTCTACCCCCACCTTTTTAACTTTCAAAGGAGGTAATGATTTGCTTTCAAATTTCCCAAATAAATAATTTTAATTATTTGTTATCTACCCTCGCCTGAAGAGGAACAATTATAGTTCCAAAACATGAAAGTTTTTGTGTAGCGATGTAAAATGTTTTCATTGTCATCTATTATAATAAAAATATTTTAATAATATATTTCCTAAATTGAGAAAAGACTAGAATGCTCAAAAATTAATAACATGTCTAGAAAACTGGAAGTCAGATGGTAAAAATTGAAAGAGGAAAAGACAAAGAGAAAAAGGGTTAAGGAGCTAATGTAAAGTGGGAAAAGATGCTGAAAAGGTCAAATAATCATGAAATTCTACACATATGCACATATGAGCATGAATGTACACTATGAAAAAATAAAAAAAACTTGCACCAATGAAAAGAGCATATAAAAAAGAAAAATTGAGAAGTATAAGGAGTCAATTGCTGATAATCTCTGACAAGTGGACAAAGTAATTCCAAGAGTGTCTACAAATTTTTGGAATTGGGATGCTGAAGGTAACATCAATCAGTGAAGTGACAAATCTTCCTTTTACTTGTATTAATTCTTTCTCTCTCTCTATGATATATATGAGAGAGAGCTTATTTTTAAAATAAATTAATCACCTCAACTTGTTGCCAGGAAACAAATTCTGCAAGTTGCTTGGCCATCAACCAGAATTTCTGCAAAAACAAAGAAAATGACAGAAATGAACAGAGAAAAAAAATGGAGAGAGAAAATGAAAATAAAAAATTGCCAAACTCAGAAAATATCAAATATAAGAGACAGAAAAATAAAGTTTATTTTTTTAATTTACTTTTTTTATAAAAAGATTTTTAAATGATATAAAATGTCCCTTGTGAACATTTTGACTACTTTCCAACAACAAAGCTTAAAGGTCAGAGAAAATGTAGTTGTTAAGCATTTACTTAAAATAAACAATTTTCCTTTACTTTCATATTAACCAAAGGAATAACTCAAAAAACATAGCATCAATTACAGTTACAAATAAAAATTTCAGCAACCAAAATTTTTATTTAATATTTATTTTTGCAATAAAGTACTGGTTTAATACACTATATCTGCTTTTATTATGCAAATTAATATTTGCACAATAAATTAAAATTTCAAGGATATATTTGTATAATAAATATACCTTATGAATTTCAGCATATGTTTTTATTATAAATATTTACAAGAACTTATGACAGGGGTGAGATTTTATAATGTAAAAGGCTGTTCATCATATTGAGAGCAAATTGTATACCAGGTGTAACAGCAAAATTGTCCAAATCATGTAACAGCAAAATTGTCCAAGTTATGTAACAGCAAAATTGTCCAATTGTTAGATTAAGCTTTTGTATCTTAGAAATGATTAAAAATATCATATTGTAGGGTCAGTTGGGCAAGCGTCTGTGAGAAAATCCATGACGCAATTCATTCTGCCAGAAATTTGGCAACTGCATGCTGTACTGCTTAACAATTGTACCAGAAGCTGCCAATATGAACATTTCAGAGTGTTTGGGTGTCAATCTAAGGAAAATGCAGAGGATTCAGAAAGAGTTGGATGATATATCATGGTATTTGGAGTGATCACTAGTGATGCTGACATTATGCATCCATTTTTCTGGGTCAAAAGGGTGGCTGCTGAAAGACCTTATGTCTGGCAGCAGGACTCTGCACCATGCCACACAAACAGAAGGACCCAGTCATGGCTGTCAGACAATTTCTCCAACCAGATCACTCTTTACATCTGGCCACCTAACTCCCCAGACTGCAACCCCCTTGATTATCATGTGTGGGGCACAGTTGAGCAAGAGACCAACAAAACTCCTTGTAGCACTAAAGATGAACTGAAAGCAAGGATTATGGCAGTGTTCAACAACTTAAACAAGGAGACCGTCTAGAAGAGTTGCAAGAGATTCTAAAATTGTCTGGGGGCCATAGCTGAAGCCAATGGCAATTTTATTGAATAAATTTACTCTTTAGTATTTCAATATATTTTTGAGTAATTTTGATAAATATATCTGTTAAAATGTAAAATGTCAATGTTATTTCCATTTTGCTGTAATTTAGACGACAATTTATCCATTGCACCCGGTATAATTATTTATATTTAATTTCAGATATATGAACATTGCCATGAGTTGTAAAAAAGATATAACCACAAATAAATACTTTACCTCAAAATTGATGTTACCATTGGGTAAGCTGCAAAGAAAAAAGATGATGCTGTTAATGACTAATGTGTTTTTTTTTTTGGGGGGGGGGGTTATTTAATCAATTCACTCCAAGCAAGGTGATAATGCCACTAAGATGGAAGAGGTTACTGGAAGTAAAAGAGAGAGGAAAATATCTTTACAAGGAACTGGGAACCAAATTCTAAAGTGGAAACTAGTAAGAGACCTCTACTCTTATTCAAAAAACTGGAGGGAGTGTGAACTGGACATTAGGGGAACCTATCTTTCATGTGTTTCCAACTTTAAGCACTCATCTATTACTATGGGTATGAAACAAGATATGTCTGGTCCCAGGGATTCCCAACCCTGTGGCAGCACCTCCTTCATTGCACCAAAGAGCAGGTGTTGGAACATCAACATCAGTGTGACATTGTTTGCAGGGTTTGAGCAATTTGGGGTCTTATGCCAGATGCATTTGCTTGAGCTGCCTACTATTACTTTAAACAGATCTTATGCTACATCCCAAAGCTACTCAAGTAAATAACTTATAAACTTTCCTTGGTTGGCTGCGAGTGAATGTAGAAAACTTCATGGATTTTGAGAAATTCTAGTCAGCCTTTTACAAAGTACTCTTTAATTATTGTGAAGCGAAGATGGAAATAAACCCCAAGACAGGCAAACACCAAATGAAAAAAGAAAAAATGTTTCTGAGTCGGTGGATTGTGCATTGTTTTGGTTAATAAATTAATGCTTTGAAAATAAATATTTAATATTTTTCAACCACCAGGTCACATTCCCACCAACAATTAAAAACATACTTCATGTTCCCTTTGAAGGGTATTTAAGCAAAGTTTCCAGACAGACAAGGCAGTAAGGAGAGACAACAGCAACAGGACACAACCACTTAACTTAAAACAAAATTCCATTAATCATTCACCCATCTTCCTCACTAAGCTATGAGACATTTTCATTTTCCTTCTAACTTTCTTTCTTGCCACTTCTTTTTCACACATAGACATAAAGAAATCACTTTTTTTCATCTTGAAAAGCAACTATAAACAAAGAATTGTAACCTGACAAATATAAAAACTTTAACAGAAGAAAAATTTAATTGTGAAAACACAAAAACAAAATTATCTTATATTTTATATTTAAACACTTTTTGTTTGTTGTGTGTTTATACAAGTATGTAGCTGAATTAATATTTTATACAAGCTTTCAAGTAGAACATGAATGAATATTAAAGGATCCATTTTTTTTACATTGGTTACACAAAATTTCTGTTAACATGTGAAATGTAGAAATATGGGAAACTCTTTACTTCCCTTGTATATTTTTAGTATTTGCTGTGTCACTATATATTCAATCCAGAGTATGAATGAAGTTTTTCACAAATTTAGTTATTCATTCTTGTGAAAACACCAGTTAAAATAAACTAGTGATCAAATAAAATCTGAAAATCAATACTTTGATTTTTTTTCAATTTTTAAAACTTTAAGGGCAAAAATTTTTTCCAGAATTTTTTTGTATTTTATTCTTCTAACCCATGACCAATTCACTCATATTTTGACCAGAATTAAATTAAATCCATTGATTTGGTCAGTCAGTTAAGTGCCATACATGATACATGATTGAGTGATCATGTCTTTTTTGATTCATGATGAGATGAAGAATTAAAAGATTTCCCCACAGCCATTTCTTTCTGCGATAGATCGATTACCACCCAAAGCTATAGAACCCAGCTTGTCCTGCTATTCATCTCATAGATGGGGGGGGGAAGAGATGGATTCGTACCTTTCACAAGGGTATATTCATATAAGTGAATGCAATGAACCTGTCTGGAACTTGAAGTTGGCTCTCCTGATTTGGTAGCTTTTAATTTTAAAATGTTTGTTCTTTTTCTCATTCTTTTTAATAATTTCATAAAATTAAAAAGATTTTAAGTAAAAATTATTAAATGTTTTAAAAATATGATTACTCACCGATTTGTAAATCCCTCATTTAAAAAATAAACATCTTTCACAAAGAGACTTAAGAATGGTATTATAACCTGAAAACAAAAAAAAAAATATATGTCATAATTTTCTACCTAAAATCAAATAAAATTCTCTCAACTCAGGAAAGCAAAATATGAAATTTAATTCTACTTTAGTGTGTTGGCTACTTCTATAAATAACGTATAAGCTTTCTTATGAGAAGATTTTACAGTACATGAAATAATCTTGGTGAAAAAGTACATGCACAAAATAACAGAGATCGATTGATTTACAATGCAAGATAACATTTATTTAACAAATAACAAAAAGAAAAGTTTAAGAGTTTCTTTTTGTAGAAGTAAATTACATATACAACAAAAATTGTTAATAAAAGTCATTGAGTGTGACTTATGTATGTAGGTGTGTGTTTGTGTGAAGCTTCCACAGCTCTTTTTGCTTCAGTGTGAAAAGTTGATGACACGCACTTCAAAAGGATGAAAAGCAAGAAGAGAGAGTTACTTAAGGGTTTGCTTGTCTTTATACCCTCAGGGCTACTATTGATACTAGGTTTATGAAAGGCTGCTGCTGATACTATGTTTATTAAGGCACTACACTATTTTTATTTTTAAGTAAAACTCAAATGAAAGTTAAAGATCAAAACATTTATAGCAAAAATAAATTCTCATGGTAAAGACTAAAACATCTCAAAGATTTTGATATGTTAACCTTCATCTGGATAAAATGACTGAATGAGACATTGTAAATATGTTACCCTTTCTCGGTCATCAACAGCTCCTTCCGACCGCCATATTGCAGCTTTTAAACATGAACGATAACTGCTGAAATTGTTCGAAGGATCCATTTGATGCTGTTGAAATTGGAAATAGATTTTCAAGAATTTATAGAGTCTTAAATGTACATTGTTATAGCAAAGAAAATTTCAATTTTAAATATACCATTGATATACAAATAAGAAAGTTGAATTTTTTTTTTTTTTTAAATGGCAAATAAAAAAGTACTTTTCATGCATATTGCTGCTTCCAAGCTTGGCTAGAAATGATTGCAAAATACTTTCCCCTTGCAAAAATAAAAACTATTTGAAAGAAAAATTTGGTATTTTTCTTAATCAATTTTGTAAGGCTACCAAGCAATTAATCCATGAACTCAAAAGAATCACAATGAAAACTAATCAACATGATATGTCTAAATTATATTATGTGCACCGATTCATTATGTAATATATATTGAATATTTCAGAGCAGACAATAGAAATGGAATATGAAGTTAAAACTGAAAACAAACAATTGGAGAAATGGAAAATAAAAAAATATATTTAATAATAATAAAACACAGTAAATAGGTTAAAGGACGTAAAATAAATGATGAAATAATGTGGATTGTCATCTAACAAAGAATTTCAGAGCATGAAAAACTGAATTAAAAAAAGAAATTATAAAATTTATTAAAATAGCTTGAAGTAAAAAAGCAAATACGCTTACCTCTAATATAGAAAATTTGGCTTTGTTCACTTTTGCCCACTGGAATAAAAAAAAAAAAAAAAAATAATAATAATAATCATATTGAAGAAATAAAAAGTAATTTCTTGGAAATTATATGAAAACTTATTTCAAATATTCAAAAATTAATATAATGTGATTTTCTAGAATTTTTTTTTTTATATTCTATCTCTCACTTTCAAGATGGACCTACCCTGAAAATTATAGACCATTCCTATTTTTGTAAGGCGGCAAACTCAGAAAATCAGTAGGAGGTGAAATACTTATTTTCTCCACTGTATGTTATGCCTCAAGGAAGGGAAGGGATTATCCACGCCTTAAAGATTAAGGAATTTAGCACCCAGTTTAAAATATCAGATGACAAAATCTTGACTAAGATATGGAAGCCATCTGCTTGTTAAAAATAAAGAGTTTTTGAATATAAAAATAATTCATAAATTACTCATCTGTCAAATTGGGATGCACCTTTCATGGTGCATTAGTGTGACCAGGTGCATTGGTTGAGAAACACTGTGCTACATGGTTAAGCAATGTTCAAGGGAAGTAACTGAATCTTTCTTTGTGAAAAATGAATCTTCAGCCATTACTTACAGAAAACTCTTCAAATTATTTGATTAGTGAATTACAATTGGAGTTGAATAGGGTATGGTATTAAACATCTCTTTAGAAATAAAAAGTGAGTTATGTAATTATTGGCAGCGATAAATTAACCATGAATTAAAATAAATATGTGTTTGGGGAAAACAAAAAAAAGAGGGGATATTATGTTCTGCAATGACCTGATTGTGTTTGCAATAAAACAGGCTGATATGATTGATTTTTTTTTTTTTTTTTTAAGGCGTATTAGCCCTTTGTGGATTATTTAAGCATTTATTTGAGATTGCAAGAATTCTTTCTCTTGCAAGTGAATATTGCCTTAATAAACTTTTGAGAATAATGATTTTTCCAGATGCAAGTCCTACTTATTTAACCCATAGATGGGAGGAAAAGGGATGGATTCATACCTTTTGCAAGTGAATACTTTCGCATAAGTAAATATAATGAACTCGACTGGAATTCGAACTCAGGTTGATGTAAAAACACACAAAAAAGAATTTAGTGAAAATATTAGTGCTATTTTGTTTAACTATGTTGAGGGGTACAGTCAAGTTAATGTTTTAAACGATTTTTGCATAAGAACCGATTTATCACCCTTGTATCAGACGTAATTGTATTAATTTTACAAGCAACACACACGAAAATTTCACGGTTTTCCTCGTTGAATTTTCTGGTGAATCATAATTCTTAATGATTGAATAAGCTCATGGTGATTTCTACAATAAAATACCTGTGGAAATTGTCCTGCTGCATTGTTAAATATTTGAGCTTAACTTTAACATAATATTACAATAACATTCATAAATATGAATGTAGCTCATTATTTAAAGAAGAGGGTACAAATGAAAAGATTCATAATTAACAAGATTTTCTATTTCAATGAAGCAGACATTAAATACATAAGAGCATTATCGCCTCCTCTATCTTCCTTTTTTTCTTTCTTTCTTCCCAGATATATCTCTGATATATCTTTTCCTTCTGTCTTGAATTATATGATAATATATTATATGAATTATATGATAATAAAATTGATTTTGACTGTTTTTCTGTACAAGTTTCTGTGAAATTTAATATTTGTGAACAGAAATTCTCAATCTGGAAATCAAAAATAAAAAAAAAGGAAAATAAAGTCAGATTTTGCCACACCAGAGATAAAATAAAAAAAAGGAATAAATGTTACATGAAAAATGTTTTAAATGCTAAAACCAAAGATACCCACTTTTTGTGGGAATTTTAAACGAAGAAAAACCGTTTTTTCATGTTTTTTTTTAATAGCTTATGGGAAACAACTGTTGTATACATATGTTTATCATATGAAATGGACTAAGTCCAACACATTTATGTTAAGATACACTTAAAGCAGAGTGTTCAAGAGAAATCATGGAAAGTTTGTAGTTTAAAAATAGTAATTTAACCTTGCTAACCAGATGCTTCCTCTGTAGCTAAATAGTATAGCACGTCAGGCTATATAATGGTTCCATGTAGGATACAGGTTCAATTCCTATTGGAGGACATATTTTCTTTGAGATTTCTCAGACATTCAGTCCGGTAAATGTTGTTAATGCTGTTTATAATAAATAGCATTTACTTAAATATTTGTATCTATAAAAATAATGTATAAACAAAAAATATATTAAAATACATGTTTATACATGTTCCACAACATTTCTAAACAACCAGAATTGTTTATTTCATTCCCTTGGCTCACAACAGTCGATCAAAACCTTGCAGTATCAATTAAATGTCTATCTTGAGGACTAGTATGATGTGGACTGTGTCTCATTGCAAATTCCTTGAACAGAAAAAAATGTCACCTCCAAGGTCAAAGAGCTTTTCTTTCTTGTGTACTTTTTGTATATATAAAAAAATCTTTTAAAAATATCTCCAATTTATATGGTCAGTGAACATGCAAATCCATTTTAGCCAATTGGTATCATGCTGAATTAAATAGACTGCTTTAGAGAACATGAAAATCCATATAATTCATGGAAATTCCTAAACTATCTATGACCCTAGAATAGACATCATTGAGGAAGCATTCTGGCACACAATATATGTGTATAAAATGAAGATAGGGAGTCAAGTAGGAGGCACGGTGGAGTAATGGATAGCGGCTTGGATTGAGGAATGGGAGGCGAGGTTCAAATTCAGTAAAATCCATTACATTCACTTATGTGCTAACACCCTTGGGAAAGGTATGAATCCTCTTTCTTCTCCCTCCAGCTATGGGTAAATAGCAGGACAGACTGGGTTCTATAGCCTTGGATGGCAACTGGTCTAGGAGAAGGAAAACTCTGAATTCAAACCTGCTCTTAGAGGAGGGTGAATGGAGTCTCTCTGAGCCTTGGTTGGCAATCCATTTAGTGATGGTGCCATGATAAACAACACCCTTGATAGCCCTAGCGAAGCATCAAGAATTCAGCTATTTGACAAGATTATGAACTACACCAATCAAAGTATTGGTGAGTTCAATCTCGGCTGAGGCTGCAAGATGATGAGACTGCTTTAAATATGGCTGATTTTTATGTAGCAGTTATAGTTAACAGATCCTTGGGTGGCTATGAGTAAATTAAGCGAACATCATGATTTTTTCAGAAATTCTATTTGTCCTTTTGTTACTGAAGTTAGCCTTAATTAAATTCCATTTTATTTCCACTGTAAAAAGGTAGATAATCCTGGTTCTCTACAGATTCCTTTTTCTTTGAATTGTCAGGTTTTCTGTAGAAATATTGTGGAGTAGTTCCCACCACTCTGTTGCTTTTGCTACTGTTTGGATGGATGGATGTTGGATTTAACGGCATGTCAACTCCTATTTGGGTCAATTTATGCCGAAGCCTTATTAATTTATGAATTTAAGTTGGTTATTTTGTATAAAAAGATGAAAGGTTGTTGGGTTTCATAATTTTCTGTATTTTTTGGGATTGCTTTTTGTGACCGTTTCTGATTGTGTATTTTACTGTTTACATTCATAGATGCATATATATGTCTATAAGCATATATATATATACACTATTTATATTTTATTGAGGATTTTATTTCCTTGAGGAAACTGTATATTTTTTCTGTGTCTGTATTTTTGAATATTTCTTTTAAATCTTTTCCATTGAGATATTTCTGTCTTATTCTAGTTATGATTTTGCATTCTGATAGAATATGTCTTATTGTGATTAGGCTTCCACATTTACATTTTGGTGGATTTGTCTTTTTTAATATGTGAGAATGAGTTAAATATGTGTGTCCTATATGTGTTCTGGTTATGACAACTTGTTTTTTCCGAGTATTTCCAAGATCATTTCCCCATTTTCCTACTTTAGGTTTAATTTGAAATAATTTATTTTCGGTTTGGTTTTTCCATAGATTTTTGCCATTTGTTTCTTATGTATTTATATATTTTAGATTTTAAGTCTGTATATGGAATTTGAAGATTTTCGTCAATTGTCATTTTTAAAGATGATTTAGCAGCATTATCTGCCTTGTCTCCTCCTTGGATGCCAACATGGCTAGGAATCCAGCAGAAGATGATATTTTTGCTTTTTTCCATTGAATGTAGTTTATATAGAACCTTTTGTATTAATGGATTTTCCAGTCTTTTCCCTTTTAGGGAGGTTAATACCGATAATGAATCTGAGAAAATAATATAGTTTTCTCCTTTGTTTTTTGATATGAAATTTAGTGCTAGTTTTATTGCGTAGGCTTCTGCACTGAAAATTGATGCTTCATTTGGCAAGCGTTTTTGATAATTGTTTCTTTTGTTATTGCTGCGCTGCCTGTTTTTTCTTCGTCTTTTGATCCATCTGTGTAAATACTTTCATAGTTTTGATATTTTTCTTTTATTTTTGAGAATTTTTCAATGTATGTTGTGGGGTGTGTTTTTGATTTTGATAATTTGTTTAAACTTAATATTATGTTTGGATTTTTGATTATCCATGGTGGTATGTTTGTTTGGTTGGTTTTAAGTATTTGATTAGCGGTAAATTATTTTCTTGGATGATTCCTTCCATCCGGAGTCCCAATGTTTTGATTTTATTTGTGTTAAGATTAAATTTCTCTTTGTGATTTGGTGTAATTACACAATCGTGTGTGGGGTTAGAAGGACAGGAAGAGAGTTTTAGATAGTATTGAGTAGCTAGTTTCTCCATTCTTAGTTGTAATGGGGTTCGTTTGCCTCTACATGTAGACTCTCTATAGGTGAGGTGGGATAGGCTCCTAGAGCTATCCGAAGGCCTTCATGATGTATTGTGTTTATTGTTTTTAGATAAGATTTTCTAGTTGATTGGTAGACCATGCTGCCATAGTCCAGTTTGGAGCGGATCAACGTTCTATAAAGTTTAAGAAGGGTTTCTTTGCTAGCTCCCCATTCTGTATGGGCTACTGTTCGCAGTAGTTGGAGAGCTTTAAAACATTTTGTTCTTAGGTAATTGATA